TAATTTAATTACATAAAGGTCATGTACAACATAATTGATGGGTGTAATATTTATGCTATTTATATATGCAAAGAAAATATATATATATATATGTTAAGAGAGAGAAAAGATTGGATATGGCACTAAGTCATCATCGCATCTTTAACGAGAAACTTGGCTATCAGAAGATGAAGACGGAGACAATGGTGGGAGAATGTATGAATTTTGTCCCACGGAAACGACAGGTGGAGTTGGCAAGCCAACGTTGTAAGTACTTCTGCTGTTACCAAGCAAAGATCCATTGTCAGTTGAGGATCTATATGTCATACACGAATCGATACCGCTACGATTTACAGCATTTGAAGCCATGGCTTGGTCTAACCCAACCAAAATTGCAGTAGTCCTGTTCAACAGCATACTAAGATGCGAAACTTCACGTTGCAATTCCTGACGGTGAGCTTGTAAAACCTGATGGGTAAGATTGGGATCAGGAACTGAATTGGCCATGGGTGGAATGACGCCTTGGATTGGTTGAGATGAGTGATGATGAGCGTTCATGGGGACAGGCAAGCCCATAGACATCCCTTGGGAGCCGGTGACTTCGGTAGTTGCAGGTTGACCAGAATTGATTGGAGCCAATTGAGGTCCAACATTGTTTGCCGGGCTAGGATTCAACAATGCAGAAATTGAACTCGAGTTTTGGGTTTGGGACGGAGCCGAACCGTCATTACCATATTGACCAGAAAAGACAGATGGTAATGGAACGTTTGGTGTTCCCAAGATATGGCCGTCATAAGAAGAGTTATTCTGGTGAATGTGAACCTGAGGCATTCCAGAATTCAAAGAAGGCTCAACGGGAGATAAACTCCTGCGGCGTTCATCTTCACTGATTTGACGACCATGATGATGATGATGATGATGATGAGCACTACTACGCCTAGAGGTATAATGATGATCTTCGATTGCAGATGCTCTGCCATTGTTTCCACATCGACGTTTACCATTAGAAACCGTCGAATCATCAGCCTTTCTCTTACGACTTACGGAAGACAAATCCTCAATTGAACAAATGTCATCATCTGAGGAAAAATAACCACGCTCAGATCCGGAGGTTGATGCTGGAGTAGGAGGTCTCTTGTGAGAACGTTCGTTGTCAGAACCATTTGAATGGTGAACTTGCGGAGGGGGTGAGGTTGCTAAAGCAACTCGCTTGCGTCGCTTGATTACAGACCTTTTCATGGTCACAGGTCGATGAACATTATGTAACTTGAAGTAAAGGCCTATTAATAAAGATAAGTAACATCATTAAGTATAAGGTTGTATTAAATAAATAATAAATAAATTTTTTTTCTAAACATGATAATAAACGTACCACAAGCATTACAAATCGTATTTCCGGCCTCATCCCTGCGCCACAATGGAGTGGTATTCGTCCCACAATTTGCACAAACCAAAGCTTGACGGTTGACTTGATGTTGGTTGTAAGCCGGACAACCATCACAGGAGCTTGATCCTCCGGTGCCATCACAGTGCCCATCACCAGGGCAGGTGCCACCACTATTGTTAACAGGAGCTTCCGAAATAGCAGGAGTGGCTTTTTTGATTGCGTTGCGCTTTAACCAAGGTGGTCGAACCGTGTTGCGAGCTTTCAGGTAAAGCCCTGAATAAAATAAGGGTAAAAAAATGATTAGAAATAAACAAAAGCAGCGAAAAATAATGAACCAAGAGAATCGGTCAATCTCCAATACATACCACATGCATTACAAATCGTCTCTCCGTTTGGCGCTCTTCGCCACAAGGGAGTGGTAGTGGTAGAACAATTAGCACAAACCGTGGCGGATACACCGTGGCCATCGGCCTTGCAAGAACGAGATGGCATAGAACCTTTCCGGTTGAGCGAAGACAAGTCTTGGACGGGTTGTTGAATCATTTGCTGTGGCCGCTGTTGAGGTTGTTGATGATGATGATGATAACGATGTTGTTGAAATTGTTGCTGGGACTGATTGTTTTCTGAGATTGTGCGTTGAGCGGACTGAACAGCGGACTGAGGAGTCATATCCAATAATTTGTTAGAAAGGCTGATGATTGTGGTTCTTTTGGTTCTTTTGGTTCTTGTGCTTTTGTGAAGGGCGGATTGATTCGGCAGAACAGACCTCGGGGAGAAGTGCTCGGTGCCAGTAAACAAATAATGTCTTTGGCTGGTTTGTACGAATTTAACGGATTTTTTTTTTATTTTTTCTAGAGGTTTGTTGGGCTTTCGATGTGGTATAAAGCGAGAGTGCGGTCAGTTGTTGCAGGTCTAGAATACTTTGTTATAGAAGACCAGATATGCATTGATGAGATAAAAACGCTAAAAACTAATTTAGCGAGCAACTCTTTTTTATTTTCAATAAATATTAAACGACAAATCCAATAAATTTAATTAATTAATTAATTAATTAATTCTTAAGGACACAGTATACGATGGTGTATTTCAAAGTGTTAAAGGTTTTGTGATGAATGACCGAAGGAAAAATAAAATTTTTTCTAAGCTTAAATAAAAAAAATTCAATGATGAAACGATGAAAAAGCAAGTATGAGAAAAAAAAATGTCAAGGATAAGGAAGGTATTTATATTCAATCTACAAAGAGATAATGATTAAATTGGTAAAATTCGGAGTAATATTTTATAATGATAATATAAATAATTTGTAGTGATGCAAATAAAAGGAAAAAAAAAGATTGATGAGATAAAGAAAAAAAAAACTAGCTTTAAGGCGATGATTCATTATCATCAATAAATTATAAATTTTGCAGATGCTGTACAATGTTTGATGGTAGTATAAAAAAAAACAGATAGTACAATAAGAAACGTGAGAGATAATAAAGATTAAAACTAGATAACTAGATAATGACGAAATTTTATTATAAGAAAAAAAGGTGACACCTCGATAAGCAATATCGAACCAATCCACACGCACTTATCAAGAGAACATCATTTGCCATTTTTCTACCAGTCACGTATTCCCGCAGTTCTAATAAAGATATCTATTAACCAAAAAAAAAATAAAATAATCGGTTAACCCCCTTTGCGTAATACACCATACAACCGAAGATCTTATTCTTATTCGATGATAAACCTGATTTGTGTGAATACTACCGAGCAACCTGTTTGGGTAAATAATTCGAAACTCATATTTGGCTTATCTTCATGTTACTCTATTTGCTTATTCGTGTCATTTGAGCAAAAAAGAAAATTTGTGTTGGGTAGCGTGAATTTTGTGTTTGACACTGTGGATATCAGTATGTGTATTTTCTTTTTTTTTTTTCCTTTGTGTTCAATTAAACTATTATAGTGATTATTATTACTCGGAGAATTTTTACCCGGGATCTCGACAATTCATACTCAGAGAATCTGTACTCAGAGATTTCAGAAGAATGAATGATCTTTGGCTATTGAAAAAAATAACTGGTTTTGGATTTAATAATTGCACAAAATAATCGATAGAATAAGAATGTGCTTGAAATCAGTTCTCGCATTTCTCCCAATGTAACCGCGCGTGAGTACCATAAGAAGGGTGTTCCCATTTTCTCCTTGATAACATGCAATATTTTCATGATTGTATAGTTTTGGGTGTTATAAATTTGGTAAGATTCTCTAGTTATCAAGTGTAAAAAAAAAAAAGCAACTGTTTATTAAACCTTATCTTAATTAAAGCCACTAATGATAAGGTTATTGTTATCAATGATAGTAGTTCCCATATGAGTAGATGTATTAATAATAAATCGTCGGTTCAAAACGATCAACAACTGCTTCTTTGGATTTAATGTTGCAATGCCTTGTCGACACTCTCGGTAATCCTCAACGTAATCAAAAATTAACCTGATGCGCGCTGGCCGGCATCCGGCTTGCACTGAGATTCTTCAAAGATATCAATTTTTCTTTCTTCCGTGTCACGTTGCCGATCAACAAAAAAACTATTCTTTACTTGCTCGATACCGTATTTCAACATTCATTCAAGTCATTTCATTCACCAACTTTATGATGGTCATGGATCTCTATTATATCCAACCGGTCAAATGATCTGGTCACAATGACGCGTCATGTGCTGGTGCTTCAAAATGACCATTTCGATTTTTGGCAACCGTTGTGCGAGAGGAAAAAATGCCACAATAATAAACAAATAAATTAAAAATGGTAATAAGTATAATTAACCAATTTTTCATTCTTTTAAATAACAACGAAACTTTCGAATATAACGTTATTAATATTACTAAAAACTTATCTATGATTTATATAAAATTAAAATTTTATTATAAAAATTTTTTTTGTTTTTTTATTTTATAAAATTAATTTTAAAAAATTTTTAAAAACTTTAAAAACTTAATATTAATATAAAATATATATTTATATTTATATTTAAAAACTTACAAAAAAAACTCTTTTTTATATATTATTTTTTTCATTTTTTATTACTCAAACTTTTTTCATATCTATATATTTTTATATTAATGTAAAAAAAAAATTTGATCAATAATATAATTTCCAATTATTTATTATATGTTATTTAGTAATTTTATTATAATATAATTTTTGAAAAATATTCAATTTCAATTTCATTACATATACAGTATATTCTATATTATCTTTATTTTCTTTATAAAAATCTTAAGAACATTAAAAAAAAGTATTAATACATTAGAATAAAACCTCTAATCAGAAAATAACAAGTTTAAAAGTCTTGTTTTTTTTTTAAATTGTATAAAAAAACTTGTAATAGTTATTTTTTTTTATTTTTTTCTTAAAATTTTTATTTTTTTATTTTTTTTATTTTTTTAAGTTTTTGATCTATCTTATATCTTTATTTTTTAATAATTGAAAAGATTATTATTATATTTTATATTTTATAATTGTTCTTATAAATAATTTAAGAAATTATTTGTATATTATAAATTATATATAAAAAAATATATTTTAACATCTCTTATACTTTGTTATATTATAAAATTTCATAAAAATTTATTCAAAAAATTTTTTTATAAAAAAATCAAAATTAATTTACTCTTATTAATTGATTTATACTTTAATTTTAACAATTATATCTTATTTTTTTTTTTCTGTAATTAAACAAGTATTTATAATATTTATTTATCATTGAAAATAAAAACATAAATATATAGTACAGTGGGTGGACAAAAGTTTATGGACAACTTTAAAAATTAAAAATTAAATTAAATTAATAAAAAATTAAATAAAT